TTGGGAGGACACAATCCTGAACATAAAACATACACAGTATAGAGAAATATTAAATCATACTTCAGACTGAGGGCATTCATTTCAGTTTAACCCTTCAGCACATTTCTCCTTTTTTTCGTATTCCATTTTAAAAGTTAATTTTTAGAATTAAACATAAGGAATATTGCTGCAGATGCCATAGACAGTGGTGGGGGAGGGGTAGCGGAGGGCAGGTTTTCAGTCTCCAAGACCTTGTGCTGGTAAAGACCATGTGCTTAGCCCACATTAAAGATGGCTGAATAATGACCCCAAAGACATCTACATCTTGATCCCTAGTACCTGTGAACATGTTGCCTGAACATAATGAAAGGGACTTTGCTGATACAATTAAGTTAAGGGTCTGGAGATAGAGAGATGATCCTGGTGAGCCATGTGGTCACTATAGTCCTGATAAGAGGCAGGAGAGGATATGATGGCAGAGTCAGTGGCTTGGGTGACAGGCTTTGAAGACAGAGGAAGGGACTGTACAGGAGCCAACAAGCATGTGGCCTCTACCAGATGGAAAAGGAAATGTAAGAGATCCTCCCTGGAGTCAGCTGATCTCTTGATTGTAGCCCAGTGAATCTGATTTCTGACTTCTGCCTTTCAGAGCTACATGAGATTAAATTCCTGTTGTAAGCCACTAAATTTGTGTTAATTTGCTACCCTGTCCATAGAAAGCTAACACACAGATTAACTGCCCTGGATATTGGCATCAAATATTGAGTTTTATGTAAACTGCAAATTATTAGGCTATTATGTTTTCAAGTTTCCTTGCATTTTAATACTTCAGAGCAAATATAAAGCTGAGCAAGAAGGGGTTTTGAAGCATTCAGAGGCCCCCTTTTCCACTGCCAGCTATGTGAGTTGGGACAACCCTTCCCTCGAACCTTGTTTCCTCTCAAGGAGGCTGCAAGGAATAAGACAGAAAATGCAAGAGCCGCAGAACGAGTTCTACTATGTGAAGCTGGAATTCACGTTGACTTTACAGTGCTCCAGGCTCCTCATCTGCAATGTGGAGATAATATTAGTCACCATCACATAGGAGAGTGAGGATTAAGTGAGTCAAGGATGTCAGGAGCCCAGAGTTGCATTGCAGGTGATGCACTGTATGTGTTGCTTTTATTAAAAAAAGAAAGAAAAAAGTAACTTGCTAAGATGTTGCAAATGATCAATAAATGAGCCTGGCATACCTGGCATGTGCCTTTTCCACAGCATCTTCTAGGTCTAGTCTAAATGCACTGGGTGTTATGTGTCCCACTGAGACTTGGTATCTGCCTTCATTGACCTTGTGATCTAATTCAGAAGCCACAAGAAAGTCCCTGTCCAGGTAAGTTCAGTGAGCAGGACTGAACTTGAACACTGTAGTTTCAGTGTGTGGGGGGGATGGTAGAGTCCTGCCAGAGGAGAGAGGGCTTCTGATGGACTCTGAGAGGCAGAGGGGAGGGAAACTGCAGGTGGGTGGGGAGCAGAGCAGGTAAAGGAATGCAAGATGGGGCCACAGCTGGGGCATGGGGCAGGGGCAGATGTGCAGTAGTGAAGGCCTCAGACTTTCACATAGTGGCTTTATGATATGGCTACAGAGAATCCTTGAGAAAAATCCTAGCAGAAGGCAGTCGTGATCACACTGTTTCAGATTAATCTGTGGTATATGTAGCAGTGACTTTTAATCACGCTGTGGTAATTCTCCAGTGTGATACAAGGGTGTGGTATCTCAGAGTTCATTTATAGCCAACACCAAAGATGAAGAGGAGGAAGGGGAAGAGGGGAAGGATGAGTTTAATAATCTAGAAAAAATGGCAGAAGAATAATATGTGGAAAATCTAAGTATTCAGAAGCCATCCAAATAGAAACAAGATACTAGAGCTAGATAGGYAAATATTAAATGAGTTCTTCATACAAGATCAGAGATCAAAACCAAGAGATAAATTATTGAATAAGAGGCAAAAATTAAATTAAATGGCCCTCTAACAACCAGAGCTGGAATTTGATTTCTGCTTTATTTCTGCTTGTTTGTTTCTAAGACAAAATTTTAATGTAAGTACTTGGACTTAATGCTTGGTGCTTGGCAGACCTGCAGAATATATAAATATTGGCTATTCACCATCTGTCAGACAAGTGCTCAACAAAGAACATAGGAGGTTGTGTTCCTATCTAGCAGGGGACAATTCATGTAATTTGTCCTTTTTATCCAGGAAAAGAAACATACACAAGAAATTTGTGGTGACCCTGTGTTCAAACAGCAAGGAGGAAGAGGTGTCCACACCAACAGACTAATGCCCATCAGATTGCCTTTTTTAAAGTGAAGGATTTGAACCCATCTCCTTTTCTTTCATCTGAACAAAGGCTGGGGGCTGGTTGAAGGATGAGAGGCATCAGCAACATCCTCTGGCAGATCCATATAGCTAAATGGGAAAGAGAATGCGCACGCCCACCAGTTTCCTTATCCCACCTGGGACTGCTGAAGAATCAGTGGGCTAACCAGGCAAATGGGCATCAGCAGCTGGTATCCTAACTAGTGGTGTCCTAAGTCACAGCCAATCAGCTCTGGGGCTTAAAGTTACTCCTCTTTCAGCACAAATGATTTCCTTTCTTTTTAGTAGAGATTGGGAATGACTAATTTTGCCCAACAAAGCTTACCTAAAGGAGTAGGATTCTAGAAAATAAGAAGAATAGCCTATGGTTTACTCTAGGCTTAGAGAGTCTGACCTGGAGGACAAAGCCAGAAATTCAGGGCCCATGGGAAGGTACACTTGATCTCCTCATTCATTTTGTCTCATAATAAATGTTTTAGCCACAATCTATTCTGTATCTAATGACAGGACATGATACTGGTAATACATGGACTTTCTGACAGTGGAAACTGATTTGAACTGACTCTTCACCTTTTCCTAGGGTTAGTGGCACAGTTTAAGGTCATCAGTTTACTCTAATTAGAGGCAGCTCAGCATAAATGCACTAGAAGCCAGGAACCTGGGCTCTGGTCCAGGCGGCATGATCTTGAGCAATGCTACCTCTAGGCCATGGTTACATCATCCATAGAACAAGAGTGCTCATATATGATCCTCAAGGCCCCTTTCAGCCATACAACAATGGGGTTTGGTATYATGGAAAGTACCCCATAAAACAAGAGTGATGGCCACCCCTAAATTTGCTAGCAGTGTGAACCCCAGTTTCCTCAAACCTAAAATAAGGATAATAAAGCCTAATTTTTCCTGGAGAGTTGTGAGAATTAACTTCAAGTAGATGTGAAATTATATATATATATTTCTTAGTAAAATCCTGGTACATGGTGTTCAAGATATAATACATTCTCTTTACTTCCACAAACCATCACACAGTGGTATAGAATTTATGAACTTAGCCATAATACGTTTAAGCTTGAAAAGAAAATATATAGTCAGAGTCTGTTTCTAGCTATTTTGTAGTCATCCCTCAGTACATGCAAGGAATTGGTTCCATGATCCTCCTCTGATTTGGTTCCAGTTCTCCATGAAAAATGGCATAGTATTTGCATGTAACCTATGTACATCCTTCTGCATACTTTAAATCATCTCAAGATTACAAATAATGCCTAACTTAATGTAAACGCTATGTAAATAGTTGTTATACTCTATCGTTTAGGGGGTAATGACAAGGGAAAAAGTCTCTACATGTTTAGCTCAAAGGCAACCATGCAGGCTTAACCAGATTGTACATAATGTGCCATTGCTTAAACCTACAGATGTGGACAATCTGGATATGAAGGGCTGACTGTATTTTAGTGCTTTGCTCACTTGCTCCTTGGAGTACTTAACTAAACCACAGCCCCAAGATGGACAGGGAGAAGGAAGGAAGGAAGGGCCTGGAGGATATCTGGCTGCCTGGGAGTGGCAGCCCTTTCTCAGCAGTGAGGTAAACCTTTGTAAGTGGCCAGCCTCTCTCTTCAGGTGGTGACCATATTACTTATCACCCAAACTAGGACACTACTGAATGTTTAAAACTATCTCAAACAAGGAAGTATGTCCCTGCCACCTTTCAGGCTTACTTTTTGTGACCTTTCTTGTCACTTTAAAGCTAAGTCTGATGTCCAGATGATGAATGAGCACATTGCAAAATAAGATATGCAAGTGAGCAGTTTAAAAATCCTTCCGTGTTCTTCAAAGGCAAAAAAGAAGGTAATTTAACAAACTGGAGAAATATACATTGATTTTAGATAGATGGCTACTATAATAAAATAGTTGGGTTTTTATTATTATAATGTAAAATTTTGGTGCAGCATCAACAGACATTTTTGTAAAGGGAGGGAGAGTAAATATTTTAGGTTTTGTGAGCCATATGATCTCTGATTCAACCAAACAATCTGCCCTTATAGTGCAAAAGCAGCCATAGATACTAAGTAAAAGAATGGGTGTGGCTATGTTTGAGTAAAACTTTATTTACAAAAAAGGGCTGCAGGGTAGGCCTTAGCTTGTGGGCTGGAATTTGCCTATTCTTGTTTTAAAACAATGGTTCCCAGACTAATAGAATTCACAGGAACAGGAAAATGAAGATAGATATCTGAAATTGACTTTGGATTTCTAACTTACTTTGCTAGGTAATGAAGTTTAAAAAAAATCATTATCTCATGGCCAAATTTCTTAGAATTTTTAAACAGCAAAAGTAGAAAGGGCCTGGATTCAGAAACAATTTAGCTTTATGAAAAACCCACCATATTATCTATATTTTAGAAATTTTTCCGTAGCTTGATTCCAACTCTGTCATGAATACACTCAGATTAACAGATGGATCATTTGAGTTGCTTTTGGAGATCAGTGGGGTGTGGTACAGTAGAAAGAACATGGTGTTCATAATTAACAGCTTTAGATTTGAATAAGGTTAAAGAAGTACTAAGAAGGAAGGGATGAGCAGCACTTGAACATTCCCTTAGTGGAACAAGAATCCTTTGCCATGAATAGCTATTGCAAACATACACTCCAATATTCAGGAACCTGAGAACTCACCAGTTGCCACTGTGCAGGGTACCATGCTGGGGGGCAATTGAAGCGGTTGCAAGCTTGCACCGTGCTGGGTTTAGGATGGCGACACAGATCATCAGCCAGGATTACCATTTCATTCARTTCTCTGGAGAGCAGGTGAGAGCAGAAGACATCTCTGGTCTGCAGGCCTACACCACAGGTGAGACTACATGGACTCCACTTGCCAATTTCCCACCTGAGAAAAAAAAATCAGAGAGGACAAAGACTGCCTTAGTTCCCATGCAGAGATCATTTCCCATGAACTCAAGGGTCATTAATTGATTAAAAATCTCCAACTGGGAATGTGGGAAGTTCTAGGCAAAGATTGGCTAGGAATTCTATCCTGTGCCTAGAACACGTCCTTCCTCTTTATACTCTAGAATTCACTGAGAGTAAAGCAAAGAGGGTGGCAAAGTAGAACATCCAATATTTACCTACAAAATCTCCAGTAATGATCAAACCATGTCTACTTTGATGGAACACACAAGCTTTGTGAAAATTAAGGTGCTATGTGACAAATAACTTATGTACATAAAAAGTTTGGCTACCACATATTGAATGGTGGGTCTAGGAAAAGATTTTCTGCTAATTTTTCTAACCCCCATTCTCAGTGAGACTGAAAAAAAAAGTTGTGCTTATTATTCTTTGGCTTCAAAGTGAAAGGTCATTGGCTCCAACTTTCTTCAAACTTCCATCACAGCCCAGAAACATCTCTGTCTTATGTATAAATATCATCACTGCCTGGGACTGGATAATGTAACAGAAGTGGAGGCTGCTAAATAGATCAGTCTTCCTGAAGGGAAGTAAGTGGAGTGAGCGGCTCATTATCTGGACATAGAAGTCAAACACACAGATGAGTTGAGTGCATGAATTGGCCAGTTCTAAATGGCTGAGTCTTGAGAAGTACATTTATAGTGAGCTAAGGGCCTATAAAAACAGCCCACTGCACCTCCCCATTGTTGCAGCCTCCAAAATGCGAACGATAAGTACAAAGCTCAGTTGCTTGGGCTCCAAGTCAGAGCGTTCTCTAATGATCAGTTTTAGAAGGTTCTGTTTACAGTAGGAGGTACAAAGATTCTACAAACSGGAGTTCGCCAAGAAAAGCATGGCAGTAGATCCCTGAGTAGCTAGTCTGCCTAGCTTTCATAGCCAGCTCAGAAAATTGGTTTAACAATCTTTGGCCTTAATGATTTTCATCAGACTGTAAAAGTAAGTGTCTACTCTCATCTTTTCCTGCTATTCTAATAGGTACCTACTGTCCTATTCCTATGTGCACTACTCCTTTCATCTACACTGTTTATACTTGTAATGAACTACATCCCTTTATGCCCCAGAGTTTGCTAGCTCCATCTTTATGTAAGCTGTATTCCTTGTTTGGAATACCTTTTGTCTTTCCCTTATCCCTCAAAATTTCTACCATTTCTACATATTCGAATTTCACCCATATTTAAAAGATGGCATTCACACTTGCTCCAGACACTGGTGATTTCCTCAGTTGGATTATAGTTGTCCTGTCTGTCCAGGGTTCTGCTACAGAACAGACCTTCTGAGGTCAGGCCTGTGTCTGAGTCAGTTTTGGAACACTCACAGTGTCCATCATACTACCTTGTAGATGATTAATGTAGAAGGTTAATAAATTCTTGACAAATGAGCAAATAGAAGGGGTCTTCCATCGCACAGGGCATGTAAACACATTAGCTTATTCAGTTTTCTCCAGAGACATAGGATCCATTGATTTCACTCACTTTATAATTGAGGGAATCTGAGAATCCAAAATGCTGGATTCTTAAGATGCCCAAATGCCTATCATTTATAAATAGTAAAGCCAGGATTTGAACTTGGATATATCTGACTCCAAAGCCTGTGTTCTTCCTATTGTACCATGCTGTCTCCTGCAAGTACCTTAAAAATTCTCCTATAATCATTACAAAATTTTAAATGATTAGAAGAAGAAAGGCTGGGTGGAATATAGTTCGTTTTGATCCTTATGTGAATTTATATAAATTTCTCTTATTTTTAACCCCCCAGCAGAATTATTTTCAAGTTATAAATGTTGTGGTGCAAGAAGGGTTTTTAGATTTGTCCAAACATAAAAGGATGTGGGGAAAAAGAAACACTCATACATTTCTGGTGGGACTGCAAGTCAGTGCAACCACTATGGAAAGCAGTATGGAGATACCTCAGAAAACTTGAAATGGATCCACCATTGATCCAGCCACCCCACTCCTGGGTTTATAACCAAAAGACTTAAAATCTACATATTACAGTGACACAGCCACATCAATATTTATAGAAATTCAATTAACAATAGCTAACCTATGGAACCAACCTAGAYGCCCTTCAACAGATGAATGGGTAAAGAAAATGTGGCACATATACACAATGGAATATTACTCAGCCTTAAAGAAGAATGAAATTATGGCATTTGCAGGTAAATAGATGGAGCTAGAGAATATCATGCTAAGTGAAATAAACCTATCCCCCCAAACCCAAAGCCTAATGTTTTCTCTGATAAGTATATACTGATCCATAGTGGGGGGTGGGTAGGGAAGAATAAAGGAATTTGGTTTGTGTAGAGGAGAGTGAGGGGGAAGAGTGGGGTTGTCAGGATGGGAAGGTCAGTAGAATAAAACAGACATTATTACTCTGTATACATGTAGGATAGATATACTACTGAAATGACTCTGTACCATGTAATAACCAGAGGAGTGAAAAGTTGTGCTCCATTTGTGTATAACATGTCAAAAGGCATTCTACTGTAAAATAAATAAATAAATAAGATTTGTCCAAATATTATTTCCTGCTCCTTCGTTCTAAAGGTTGAGAGTCTAGAGGCTCTCCCTTCCAATGACTCTAAAGAGGCAGAAGTGATGMTCTGAGACTTCCAAGGCTAGACCATAAAGGATACAGTTTCCCATGATGCTCTCTCTAATGGCTTATTCATGGTGGGGGGAAGCTAGCCATCATGTCAGGAGGACACTGAGATGGTCTTAAGGAGAGTCCACCTGTAGAAGAATGGTACCACTGTCAGCCCAACTTGCCACTCATGTGCATAAGGTACCTTAAAAGCACATCCTCATACCAGGCTAGTCTTTGGATGACTGTAGCCTCAGGAAAGGCCTTGTGCCCAAACTGTCTATGGTTCTTCCAGATTCCTTACTCAATAAATTGTGGGGAAAGGATAGATAGCCACTAGGTTTGGAGGGAAATTTGTTATGCAGCAATAGACAACTAATACAAGTATGCACCCCTCTCCAATGTATATATAGTCATCCAAAGACATATAAGAATATTCATAGAAGCACTACTCATAACCACCCAGATGAGGAAAAACAAATGCTCATTAACCGATGAATGAATAAAAAATTATGATATGTTCATACAAAACTATATAAAACAATGAGAATAAACCATAGCAATAAGCAACACTGTGGATGGATCTTATAAACATGAAACGGAGTGAACAAAGCCACAAACACAAAAATTGATATGTTTCATTTCATTTATATAAGCTCAAAAACCAAAACCAATCCGTGGTGTTAGAAGTCAGGCTGGTGGTTACCCTTGGCAGGTAGGAGCTAGAAGAGGGGTATGGTGAGGAGGGCTTTCCCGGATGTTGTCTAGATCTGGGTACTGGTCTGGGTCCAGTTCATGAAAAACCACTAAGTCTTACACATAATATTTGTACATTTTTTTGTTTGCTGTTTCAAAAAGGGGTTTTCCCCCCAACTTTAAGTGAAATCATAAAACACGGGAGTCAAACAAAGTCCAACAACCACCCCGATGCTGATGACTGCTCTGTGTGTGTCTCAGAGGGCAGCTGCCTGCATGGTTAGTGCTGACCCCAGGTTCACCTGTGCCAGGGCACAGGTTTTTATGCTCACTCCCTGGGCCCCGGCCCCCACTTCTGTTGTAAACCCAGTTACCAGGACCTTGAAGCAGAGGCATTTTGACAGCTATTAGGCCAGTTAAACACTGCACAGAGAAACTCACAAAGCAGACCTCTCTGCCTACCCTGATAAAAGCACATTTTACATTCCCAGGGAAGGAGGTCAGCAGAAAACCATCTGCACATTAAGCACGTTTGCTGATTCTGGGTCAAAAATATTTTAATCAACTTAGGCCAAAAAAAGGGAAAGCAGGGACTTTTCCCTACTTCTGTCCTGCATAGAAGCTGCCCTCATGGGCTGTGGATCTTGCATTTTGGACTTGATTTTGGCTTCCAGAACTGGGAGACAATAAATTTCCATCCTGTTAAGCCACTGAGCCTGTGATACTTTGTTACAGTAGCCCTAGGAAACTAAATCATTTTAACCTCAGCATTTCACACAGTGTCTGGAACACAGAAGATGTGCAGTTAACTGTGTGGTCATTTAACCGGAGTTGAATTTTCAGTGAACTGTGTGTACCTTTGGATGAGTCACTTGGCTGGTCAGCRTCTCAGCAGTGTCCTTTACACAACTGCTTGCTTCCAGTTTCAAAGTCTCAAAAGCTCTGAACACCATAAATTTTTCTTCAGTGCGGTACAAGCTCTTTTTGTGACAAAACTGAGCCTAAATTGACATGCTTTGATAGGCTGCATCCCACTTTGGGTAAATATTTATACATTTTTACTGCAGTAATTTTAGCCTGTTGGAGTATGGCATTTTCCTCCAGAAACTGCTAGGGATATTATACAATTTATGTCTTAGTCATCCAAAGTCTTTCTAAAATACAAAAAAATCGTGAATTCTGAAACACATCTGCCTCCGTGGTTTTGGCTGGAGGCCCATCGCCACGCATGAGAGGGTGGTTGAGCTGGTGGGTAGGGTTCTTGCCCTTCTAGGCTTTAGGTGTTTCAATCATGGTTGGGCTTTCAGCCAGAATGTTACACAAACTCTAGTTTCCCCCACATTTTTTTTCTATACTTTTTCTTTCCTCTGAGCCCTTCTTCATATTAGTGTCCCCTTTGTCAAACCCTTTTTGCAGGAGAGGTTCTGAGTTGGTGCTCTGTACTGCCAGACTTGCCCACTTCCAGAACAATCGACTCCTGACCCAGGGCATGCAGGAGCCGGGCGACCCTCCTCCTCAGTGATTGGAATTAGCCTTCCTACCTCTGCCCAGCCAGAGGTGTTCTTGAGTTGACCATCACTGTAACTGGATTTGAGACATTAGACTTGGCTTCCTGATTCTCACTTTATTTCCCTGACAGCAATG